GCTACATGGCCGTTGATGGGCTGGTAGGCGCTGTGCCGCCTCTCTCCTTGCCGATGGGGGATGCAGGGGTGGAAGACTGTCCGCTCCTCTTGGCCTGCTTCTTCCAGTACTCTTCGCGGTGCTCGGGGACGATCTGCCATTTCATGCCCTTGCCAGGCTCGTCTGTGCGACGAGGCACCTTCTGGAAGGCCTTGTTGAGAGATAGGTTGTGCCGGATGGAGTTCTGCCAGCCGGACTGCGAGTGCCGGTAGAAGGCGTACTTTTGCATGATAAACTTGTAGATGTTGCTCAAAGACAGTTTCTCTTCCTCGGTGGAGAAGATGGCCTGGGCAATCATATTTGCGTAGCTGAAGGGTGGCTTGATATCCTTGGCCGCGTCCTCGCTGTAGTCGATCTCCTCGGTACTTTCCATCATCAAGCCCCGGTTGTACATGGGGGAGACCTTGGACGATGGCTCAATGGTATCTCGCGACAGTGGGCGTTGGGAGGGTGTTGTCTGCCGCTTGGGAGTAACGGTGGCCGCGTTTGCAATCTCTGCTGCTCGACGGCTACCGTTGGCTGTGGCAGCACCGCCAGTAGAGTTAGCCGCAGCAGCAGAAACAGAAGCATTATCGGCCGGTTCTCTACTGTTGAGAGCAAAGGACATACGACGGGGTGCTCCGGCACCAGCACCAGCACTGGAACTGGTACCGGCGTTGGAAGTGGTTGGGTGTGAATGATACGAGCCATCCCAAGCGGTCTCGTCTGTTTCACGGGTGGTATGGACGCCGTTCTGGGCCTGCTGGATGAACGCCGGGTCGATAACAGCCTTATCTCTGGGCGTGACGAACATCATCTGGGTATTGGCGATCTCGAGGATGTCGCCACAGGAGATCTGGGTGGCCGTTCCACGCTTGTAGAAGGTGTTGTTAACCCGCACGCCGTTCCGTCCGTTGACTCTCACGCGCCAGCACGGCGGGTCGTCGCGGTCGTAGTATATCTCTGCATGCAGCCGGGAGACAAACTTGCCCGGTCCGAGGTCGATGTGAACGTCCGGCAAGGCCTGGGCGGCGACGGTGATGGGGGAAGACTGGGCATCGAGCCTCTGGTCGCGGTCTGGCGGGCGTCCGATGTTGACATGCAGCGTCTTGACGTAGTAGGTCCAGTCGCGGCCGGCAATCTTAGCGTAGGCCTCGACACTTTCTTTGTTTTCCTGCTGCGTGCGGGCGTTGGAGTGCAGGGTCATGACGGCAACGGGCTCTCTTGCGACGGCCAGGTTGGCGATGACCGAGTCGACGAGGTCCTGGTTGGCCGCCATCTCGTTGTCATGCTCGTCGTCGTTCTCGTCCGCAGAGGCGGCTGGTTCGACGGTCCTCTCAAAGTCCGGGTGAGACGTGTGTTCGACCTGCATGTTGTTATTATTATTAGATACTGGTACACTGTAGACACTCGACAACACACGCTTTCAATGCCGTCTTTATGCCGGCGCGCGCAACCAACAGAGGAAAAGATGAGGACTAACCTTGCGCTTCTTGACCGAACGCCGGGTGGGAGACGAGTCGAGGGCATCCATATCAACCGGGTCTTCGTGCAGGTCGACGTCTCGCCGACGACTGCGACGCTTAGCAACCGAGGGCGCCATCTCCGTCTCTCTCTCTCTCTCTCTCTCTCTCTCTCTCTCTCGTCGTGCGTCTTTGTTCCGTGCTATCCTCCGAATATCTGTCTTCCTTGCCGTGTCTCTCTTCGCTGGGGTGTTGTTGACGCAGGAAAAGGCCGTGGATGTCTCGATGCCGATCGAAGCAAGACCAGCACAAAAGAAACACCAAGCAAAAAGGAAGCCCTAGTCAAAAAAAAAAGTCCGTTTACTCTTGCTCTTAGTTCCTGCAACCCCAAGGGCGGGAAAAAAAGAAACGAGCAAATGCTGTGCACGAGTAAATATCGCAAGACGCCGTGAACGCAGCTGAATATCACTTGGGATCAACAAGTCAAGTCGACCTGGACTGGACTTCGGCTCAAGTAAATAAATAAATAGCAGAAAAGAAAAGAAGGATCTTTTTCTCGGAAGTGGCTGGTCCTTTTGTCTCTCTTCTTCTTCGTCTTCTTCCTCTAAAAAGAAAAAGAAAAGAAAAGAAGAAAAATTTGAAAAAAAAAAAAAAAAAAAAAAAAAAAAAACTCCGTCAAAGTTGGTAAACAGACGAAGAAGATGGAAGAAAAAAAAAAACTCTTTTCGCCAAAGGTTGACTTTTTCCCTTTCCCTCGATTGGATGTCTGGTTAACGGTTCCTCTCTTGCGTCTTTGAGCTTGACTTTGGTTTTTTATTGCTTCCCCCTTCGCTCGAACCGTGACTTGCTTCTTCGTCTACGGCCTTTGAGCTTGCCACCCCTTTCGCAGCCTCCCAACCAGGCTTCGGCTTTCGTCTCGATGTGGGTTCAGCAGACTGACTGACTCGTTAAATGTGTCTTTGTTGCGTATCTTCGACCGACCCAGTGCGGAGGCGAGATGGAGAGTTGTGGATGTTTGTGTTTGTGGTACGGGTACGATCTCGTGTATTCTTCTCTCTTCTGATGGCAGCCAGTACCAGCCAGTACAGAGAGATACTCGTAGCAAGCAGGCTTATGTCGTTGAAGCAGGCTTGACGCGACTCAGCCCAGCCGTATAGTAGTTATTTCGCCGCAGAAACAAGACCTCGAGCCTCACACAGACGCAAACGCAAACGCAAACGCAAACGCAGGCGCAGGCGCAGGCGCAAAGTAGCGTATCGGAGTAACCCACGCAACGCGTCAAAAAGTTATCAAAGTATTCCGGTTCGCCAACGATGATGTTATGTTTGTTTGTATACGCAACGAGCGCCTCAACGCGTGGACGCCCGCAGCCAGGCTCTTGAAACAGCCGATATCGATAGCCCCAGCCGCCAGCCTATCGATAAACGACGGTTAGCCCAGTTAGTGGCCCTGAGGCGAAACAAGACGAACCAAAACGCAGGGAAGAGACTAAACTAGTACCGAGTACGGAGTAAAGATATGTCACTGCTGGAGACGGCCGGATCGATGGCAACAAAGTCGAACGAGCCAAACCCCGGATTTCTCAGTTTGCAGGGCTCCAGCGGGAGGGACTTAGTACTCTGGGTGATGGAGACGTCGACTGTCTGGCCGTTGATGCGAGCGCGTGGATGGCGACGACGGGCCTTTTGACCGTCTGGGAGCTGGGGCCGAGACCAAACCATGGGTCGGCTGCTCGATTTTGCTATTCTCTCGCTCCTCGTGGCAGCGAGTCTTTTCTCACACGGCTGAATGTTGCTGTCTCTTAACTTATCTCTTCGCTGATCTGCGTATATTCAATCTGTGATGTTCGACGTTGAAGTCGTTCGTCGTCGGTGGTTTTTAGGTTATGTATCGGAGGTACGGGATTTTGGGTGGTGGCGGCGTAAGTTACGGTATTTTACGATATCAATACTGAAGGGAAAAAGAGAAGAGAAGAAAATTGTATTTGGAAACATCCCACAGCAGGCACTTTGACAGAGGGACAAAGTCAAACGATGAACAGACAAACGATAAGACGAACAAAAAAGTAAAAGCAAAAAAAAAAAAAAAAAGTAAAATAAAATATACATGGCTGACTCGACAGACGGAAAGACAAACTCATAGCATCATCACGAAACGGGAAAAAGGTAATGGTGTAGGTGGTATAAGCTGAACAAAGAACGCAGCCAGTCGGTCAGTCGGTCTACTGGCCCATCTTCTCGTCGCCGTCGGTGTCGGCTCCGTCATCGTCGACGGCCATCTTGAGCACGGGATACAAGTTCTCTCCTGCTTGCTTGGCCTCTTCCTCGGCATCAAGCATGGTTGTCGTGCTTCGGGCAGTGGGGGTAGATGGGCTCTCCTGATCTTCGTCGTCGCGTGGCATCTGACTATCTCTTCCTTCCTCGTGGGCCACGGCAGCGGCGGCGATCGCTTCCATTCCATGCATCTTGATGCTGGGGTACTCTCCTGCTCTGGTAGCGGCGTCAGATGCAGATGCAGATCCAGGGGAAGCTTTGTCGGTCTTGGCGTCTTCCTCCTTGTCGGAGTCTTCCTGCTTGTCTTCGTCGACATAGTCGCCGTTGTTGAGACGTTCAAGGACATAGTCACGTAGTCTCTGGAGTAGGCGCACGTTCTCAACCCATTGCTGCTCACCAACTGGCTGGCGATCATCTGGTCCAGCAGCAGCAGCAGTAGTAGCCGTGGGAGTAGGGGTGGATGAAGGGCTTCTACGGGGGGCAGCATCTTCGTCCATGTCGGCCGAGGCACGACTGAGGGCAGGATCGATGACGCTGGAGGACAGCTTGGGTTCATCCTTAGCAGCAGCAGCAGCAGCAGCGTCGGCATCACGCTTGATGGAAGGAGTGGAGAGGTCGATGTCTGGACGAGAACGCTGGAGCATGCCGCCAGTGTAGCGTCTTCGGTCATCGTCAAAGATGCTGCTCAGGGTGGACGGAGGAGCGGCACTGGAGACGGTGGTTGGGTATCCCGATGAGGAGAGGCTGTCCTGGCCCGTGGTGGCGGGTAAAGTAGGGTACATTCCGGCCGTTGAAGGGTGATGGGATGGAGACATGCCATGGCTAGAGGCGAGCGAGATCGGAGAGCGGCCAGAGGTGTAGGACTGGGCGCTGGAGGGAGGAGTGAGCGCGGGAGTGGATGCATGAGGGGATCTGCTGGCAGCAGAGACAGAGGAAGCAGGCGTGGCAGCAGCAGGAGTGGATATCATGGAGGCAGTGGTAGCCGCCGTAGTGGTAGTAGCGGTAGTGGCGGTGGCATGAGGGTGGTGGTGGTGTGACTGGTGGTGAGTCGGGGGAGAGTTAGTTGTGCGGTAACTCAGGGGACCCTGGACGTAGTGGGCACCAGGCTGGGCAACTCCTGCGGCGGCCACGTTTTCATCACTCTCGTAGACGGTGGACTGCATCTGCTCCAGGAATTGGTCAATGTTCATCAGGTCAGCTTTGGTGCGCAGATTGCCCATGGGGGGCAGATGGTAGGACTGGGTCGGGATGGGTCCGGCGGACTGGTAGCCACTATGGCCGCCACCGACGCTGACCATGGCAGGCATGGGCTGGTACTCTGGCACTGCGCCGGCGTGGGTCAGGGGCAGCGGGAGGCCATGGAGGTTGAGCAGACGCTGGCCCACGGCAGCATAAGAGGTAGGGTCGAACTGACGGCGCTTCAGGTCTCCAAAGAACTCATTGAGGGCATCGTAGCCGCGCTTCTTACTCTCGTAGGACGCCTGGTGGGCAGCGTCGTGGCCCACGGCATAGTAGACGTTTCCATACGAGGGATTGGGCTGCTGCTGGGGGGGCTGAGGCTGGTAATACTGTGGTGGAGGGTGACCGTAAGCCTGGGGGACTGGGCCGAGTGACCCTTCGAAAAAGTGAGCGGCTATAACGTTGTCAGCGCTGAGCACACCACAATAGAATAAAAATAGTGAAAAAAAAAAAAAGATAAAACGTACGCTTTCCGTCAGGCCCAAGACCGACGCCAAACATGCCGGTGGGAGGCTGCTGTCGCTGGCCGGCACCGGGCTCCGGCGACCGCATGAGGACCGAGTCGTCCGCGTGCGTCTTGACATGCTTCTTCAGATCCTGGGGCCGCTTGAAGGCCTTGCCGCAGAAGTCACATTTGTGCGGTTTCAGGGGCACATGGACGCGGATGTGGGAGGTGATGTGGTCGCGCTTGACGGTCGTGGTGCGGCAGTTGGACCATCCACAGGTCAGGTTGAGGTTGTTGGTGCTCTTGCGGCCGACGTGGCGCTCGCACACATGTTCCTACGCCCAGTTAGCCATTCCATCACAACACATGAGAGAGAGAGAGAGAGAGAGAAAGAGAGAGAGAGAGAGAGAGAGAGAAGAATAGAAGGAGAAGCATACGTAGAGAGCCTCTGGAGTCGGGCAGAGTTCCTGGCAGCCCTGCCACTGACATTCGAGCGAGCCGGGCGCGTTGGGGCTGCTGGGAGCGACCTGCTGGACTCCCGGGGGCGCGACGGCGGCGGCAGCAGCAGCGGCATGCTGGAGACTCGCCTGGACAGGGACGCTCTGCACTGTCTGCGAGGTCGGCTGCTGCTGCTGTCCTTGCTGGCCCTGCTGGCCCTGTTGCTGAGGTTGTTGCTGTTGCGGTGGTTGCTGCTGGAGAGATGGCGCGGACTGCATCTGGCTTCGCGGCTGCTGTGCCTGTGCCTGCGTCTGCTCTGACTGCGAGCCCGCGGCCGCCTGCTGATGCTGATGTTGCTGCTGCTGTGACTGCTGCTGGTGCTGCGACGGCGGATGCTGCTGCTGGTGCTGGGCGAGGGCGGAATGGTCTTGGTCCTGGGTGGAAGACATGGCCGCCAAGCAAAAGTCTTGTCGACGCTGGGCGAGCGAGGCACCAAGAGCGGAAAGTCAGCGATCGAAGAAGAGGGCGAACGAGGGCGTTATAAGTCCAGTCACGCTGGAAAATCGTCGCAGGAGAGCTGAAGAAGAAGAAGAAGAAGTAGATGAAGAAGAAGAAGGCTGATGCAGCTGAGCAGCGAGGAGAGGAGGACGCGAGGAGAGACGGGACGAAGGGGCTGAGTCGTCGAGCGAGGGCCTTGGCCTCCTTAATAAGTGAGAAAGGGGGGCGCGGAAAGGCGAGGGCGAGGGCGAGACAGGCAGCGCTGATAGAGAGAGGGAACGGCCAAGGCTGGGCGGGCGGAGGGAGTCGAGCAGAGGCAGAGATAAGTAGCAGCAGTTGGCAGCAGTGCTGGGAGAGCTGGACAAGAGGGATGGACAGTACTAGAGCAGTCGCAGGAGTGGTCGACGGTTGGGCAGGAAAGGCAGGACTAAGACCAGCGACAAGAAGGACGAGACGGTGGGAGAGACGGAAGGACAGCCAAGACATTTAAATAGTAAGGCGAGCCAGGACAAGGCGCCTTCGCCGGGCTTCACTGCTTGCTGCTTGCTTCTTGCTTCTTGCTTGCTTGCTTGCTTGCTTCTTGCTTGCTTGCTGCTGGTCTTTCTTTGCTTTTTCTCTTTGCTTCTTCTCTTCTTCTTTTCTTCTTCCTCCTCTGCTTCGTCTCGTCTTTTTTTTTTTCTGGGTTTTCTTCTGTTTCTCGCTTCTGGCTGGCTGGAGTTGCTTTTTCCTGCTTGCTGACATAAGCGATGGTGTAACTCAAGCCCGACAAGGGGCGAGTGTGCCAAGCAAAGCGGAGCCAAGCGCGGGCAAGAACGGCCAAGAACGGGCCAAGGGATGAGGTCGGTTGCCAAGGTATGGACGGCCAAGAGCTTTTGCCAAGGATCGGTCGGGTCAAGGAGGTGAGAAATGCCACGTTGCCGTGACAAATTAGTCCGAGGCCAGCTACGATTAGTCATCCATAAGTTGAGGTTGTTAACCGTGGTCGTTGCAGACTGTTGGGTTAGTCGGAATGAAGCTGATTTCTTACTCTGTGAGGCGTCTCCGGGGACCGATTAGCCATTTCGCCCGTTGGGAATCGGCGCGTCGACGAATCCTGCTGTTGACGGAGGTGGACGTGGCTCGTGCCCTGGAGCCCAGCGGCAGTCAGAAGAGTCGGTTCCTTCTGGCTATTCGGTCCTACCATCATAGACTGCGGTATATCCAGGGTCGGGTGACCCCACTTCGTCTGCTGACGGAGATGGTTCTGGTCCCTGGATCGACATAGACGTGGACACTGTAGCCCATGCGGTGGGCGCGGTCTCCTGCGCTACTAAAGCGCAGGCTTATGTGCAGGTCCTCGTCTGGAGGTCTATCCGTTTGGCTTTTGGTCGTCCGGTGGGCATCGGCGCTGTAGTAGAGGTGGTTAGCTTAAGATTACCTAGGAAAATGATCCGATGGCTGCCGGAAGCTATGAGTACATACAATACTATGCAGTATTCGGGCTTGACCTTCTTGAAGCCCCCTTCGGTGCCAACTTGGATGATATCGCAGGGTACTCGGATATCACCTTCAGAGTCTCTACCATCCGACCCATGATCAAGCCGGTGGTGCCACTCAATTCCGAGGACTTTATTTATACCCTCCGCGCGGTATTTCATCTTCCACACAGGCCAACCTGCATTGGAGTTGTTATTTCCAGCTGGCACAGCCGAGAACTAGAGTAACGTATTGTTTGACGACATCCTTGTTGTTGCTGCTGTTGCTACTATTGCTGCTGATGCTGTTGCTGCTGATCCTGATGGTGATGCTGCTGTTGCTGTTGTTACGGTAAAAGTCCTTGACGCGAGATCACGTTGGAATGATAGACGCGAAGAGCTATATTTATAACAACAATGATCGGACCCTATCTAGTTCCAATCCCCTCCCAGTTCTGTCCTCTAGTGTAAGCCCCCCATGTCCTCTCACTTTGTCCTCTATCGTAAGAAGCCCCTCTTGTCCTCTAATCCCCTTCCACCAATGCATTTCAGCATCAACAAACGCCCTCTGGCGGATGAAACATATCTAGTTCGAGTAAGCAAGGCCATTTTAGTAGCTCCAGGCATTCAGGATATAGCTATCTAGACATGATATATTATCTTGAAATATTGCAAGTGTATGGTATAATTTATTGCATTGGGTATTAATTGTTTATCCAGGCATACGGCAGCTTTAAGCACAGTCATAGCTATTTCGAGATACCCAACGGTTGATAGCAGGCTATGCTTATGAATAACTATTCAAGGGTATCACGAGCAAGTCTATCAATATTTTTATCATTAGAATTATCTTCCCATGTCCTGTTCAGTCTCTCAGTGAATTCCGACCTTGCATAGAAAAGTTTTGTGCCCCAGAGGTCGTTTAATATCATGTCGCTGCTTGGCGCTTCAGCGCCTATTTGTAACTTAATTTCTCTCGGGTTTCGCAATAACCACTGACCTTTGGGCATAACGCCACTGCCTACGGAATCAATTAAAGTGATTCTCGAGCTATCAAAGTATTTCGGTGTGAAAGGATAATGGACATTATGAAACATTTATACTTGAAAATTTGCCCGTTACAGTCTACATCAGAATCTATTGTACCCTGCAGCCAGCTGGTGCTTCTAACGTGTCGTTAAGTAATGATTCCGTGGTGATAAGATACTTACGTAACGCGGTAAGCGCTTAATGCTGTAAGCGCCACCGCCACCAGAAGAACTGAGTCAAGGACGTCACATCCATACTTCTCTCACATGTGATTATTTAAAAGGCCAACCTGCTTCCTACAACTTTTCTAACTACTTACCTCCAGCTCCCTTCTTTTCTGTTTGCGCTCAGCCTGATCCAAGTCCTTCCTTTACTTCCATCTCACTCCTAGCACACATGTCCCTCAGTTACCCTGTCGGATACCATCCATGCCCGGAAGGTCAAGATCCCGGTCCCTGTTGGATACAGCCCTATTGTGACGGAGAGCAATGTGAGCCGATTAGTGAGTATTCTGATGGGAAGACCGGGCTATGCCCAGTCCTGCTCGGCGACATCCTAGAAGGGATTGATCTACAGGATGGAACAGAATGTTCTTTTCATGTTATTGGGAAACTCGGCCACGGCTCTTACTCTACCGTTTGGCTGGTGAGAAACAGGCAAATTTCCCATCTACATTTGATCATGGAGCTTTCATTAATATCCATTACCTAGAAACACCCAACAGCATCTAGCTCTCAAGATACTCAGGGCCGAGCATAGCACGCGTGATAACATGGAGTTGAAAATCCTGCAAGATACAGGGAGACTCAACTCTGCCTTCTTCTATACGCATACACCAACTAATAGGCAACACCTTTGTCTTGTGATGAAAGCTGTCGGATGCCCTCTGAAAGACAGAAGCTGGGCTAAACCTAATGGTGGCGAACTTGGTATCCCATGGGATGTTTTATCCGCTGCCATGCTTACAGAGATGCTCCTGTTGAAAGTATTTGAGATCCATGAAGTCGGGATATACCATGGAGGTAAGAGTGAAATTGTCCTTGAATCACGTATTATGCTGATTCGGCAATACCGTAACAATTGACTAATATATATTCGTTAGATATCAGTCCATCCAACGTTGCTCTAGGCCTCGCCGAAGATGCCTTTACGCCCAAGTCCCTGAAATGGACTTTCAGTGAAGACTTACGGGCAGTAGTACACCTAGGATTCATACCTCTGACAGAACCACAACCACCTGTCCCGCCATTCTTACCGGCTTATATTGCATACCATGTGTATCCACTTGCCTCTGACGGACTGGATGTGACTAAGATTGATATTATTGACTTTGGACAAGGCGGTCAGTTTTTTCTCTGTCACTTTTGGATAACTGATTAATTAACTAATCGTGTATACATAGGGTACGAATCAAAGAATACCAAGCTAAGGGGTACCCGGGGTTATAAACCGCCTGAATCCAAGAACCCGGGTGCTCTTGGATCTATTCAATCCGACTTATGGAGCCTAGGTTGTCTGGTATGTAGCTGCTTAGTTTCCCTTCCTATTGCATTTCAAACTAACCGGCTATCTCAATATAGGTCTACTATGCACTGACGGATATTCATTTATTCGGGCCAGACGAGGAATTCGTAAAAGCATACACAGGTATGTGCTCTATTCTCTACACGTACTATATTTTCATTTTGGCTCAGCCTGCTGACTTCATATGGAAACAGCGGCGAGCGATCAGGAGCAAATATCCTATATCGATGTCCAACTAAGAGCAGATAGGGTTTTTCAACAGCACGTCGAGTACAGGGATATAACAGCTAGGCTACTTCATTCTCTTTTAAGAGTTGATCCTGCAAAGCGAAGTGCAACAGAGGCGAAAAAGTGGCTCGTCAAGATGGTAGAGTATGCGAACCAGCATATGGAAGGCGACCGGTGACAAAGGAGGATTTGTCGAAGAAGACAAACCGAAGAATTGAAGCATGAAATCACAAACTGGTATACAGAACAGAGTTAACATATGGCTACGCCAGGACATAATATGATTACACCCGATTTATCTATACTCTGCGTACTCTTTCCATCTTGCTCCCTCATATTTGTGTCGCGCATAAAAATATATGTAATGGCAAGAATGTACACGCTTCTTGAAGAGGACATGAATCGATGTATACGCATTCGTGTTTTCAAAGGGTATCAGGGTCTAACGGGCAGAGCAAGCAGGGGAAGCATAAAGATGACGGCATTCTGTCTCTTAGGGATATATGCAGAAAGTTAAACTGGGGATAAACCACAAAAAGGGGGCATGTGCTAGAAAAAACTGGGCATTTATTTCACCATAGAATCATTAGTCCTTGTTACTAGCATTATTATCGTTGCTGCTGCCATCACCGTTCGAATTCCAGTTCCCCCATTGAGCCCAATCATTCGAGGACACGCCCAAATTTCCATCTCCATTTATATCTCCACCAATGTTAGTGCTCACACCACCAAATTGGTCCATTAAGTTATCAAACTTCATGTCGGTGTCTAGGGCCATATCGAGGCCAGCACCAAGACCCATTACAAAGTCATCTGATGCTGTTTGGAAAGAGGGGTCGGATGTGGGGTACTGGTATGAATTGTTTGGGGCTCCTTGCGCAGCAAGGTTTTGCCAAATGAAAGAATGGCCGGGGATAGTGACAAGGTCGGGGTTGCCCATGAATTGGTAGGCATTTGTATTTTGTTGGGGTTCCGATGTTGGGCTTTGTGTATTGCCTGGGAAGGCGGCGGATACTGCCTTTATATGGGGAGGCAGACTGCTAACTGAGGTTGGGTCATGAGAGGATGCTGGGCTCACCATGGACAGTCCGGGAGTAGTTGTAAACGAAGGTGAAGAGGACGTGTTAGATTTATTCAAACCATCCCTGTCCATTACAGATTGTAGGGATGTGTTTGAAGAGAACATAAATTGCCCTTGACCACCATTGCTGTTATTGTCCTGTTTAAAATGGTCGTCTTCCAAGGTTGACATTGGTTGGGTGGGGTAGGCCAACGGGTCGTCGGAAGGGAACATCATGGGCATAAGGTCAGGCAGAGGTGCTGAGCCATTAAATGGCGGCGAAAATGATATATCTTGTTTGGGTGCGGATTGTGATTGCGAGTTTCCTATGCCTCCTACTGTAGCCAAAGATGGGGATGATACGTGAGTTTGTTCAGTATCAGCCAATGATGAGATCCGGGGTGTAGAAGATGGGCCAAATAAACCTTGCATATCAGCCGTCCATTTGAAGGGGCCATTCGAGGCACTATTTGCGTTCTCCACTGACATATCTCCAGCTGGAGAATTTTGAACAATAGCCGCTCTATTTGGTGTAACGTGTAACGGGAAGGTACTTGCTCGTGGTGGTAAACTTGCATTAAACTCTTCAGGCGCTTTGGTCTGCAGGGGTGGTGTCTTGTTCCCGCTTCCAGAAGAACTATTTGAACAGATAGGAGTGGGCGTCTGGGTACGCTTCCGGTTGATTAGCGGGGACGAAAGAGCCTGTCTATTTCGAAGTCTCTCCGGAAGATACTTAAACATAGACTAGAGATAATGTTAGTTCATTTGCGAATAACATCGATTTCATACAGCCAAGGGAGACTTACATTCAGACTCTGGGCACATCGATCTGCAGCCATACTCTTCTTTGCGAGACCAGCTAGCACATTTTTCCCCTCCAAGGCATCTTTCAAAATTCCGTCCTTGGCCGCTGCAGATTCCGGGTTTTCGAGGATAAAGAATAGGAGCGTTAAGATAGCAAAGTAAGTTGTATACATCGTAAACCAGTACGATCCGTTGAGAAGCTGTTTCTTTTTCATACCAGCAGTGATATGAACAACATTTCGCGCAACACTAACGCAAGCAGCGGCACAGGCATAAGATCGCTTGTCGATTTCTTGGCCTTTGGAACCACCAGTGACATAATGTAAGAAAGGCCGATACATAACCAGCTGAACATGAGCGTAACATATACGGAGGAGTTGCCTCATTCTTGGACCTGTCAGCACATGCAACATCAATCCTCCAACAAATGGCCACTCACCTCTCCACCTCTATTGCCGCTTCACCACCGGGTCTATAGGCATCGGGCAGTGCCTCCATCCATTTCTGAAGATCTCGTTCAAGTTCTCGGATCTTTGAATGGCTTACCATATAGGTATGGTTATCGCCGTGCGTCGTGACTTTGACAGGATATATATATTTCATCACTTTCAACATGATATGGCCGAGTCTCATGTGCGCATTTGCACCGTGCATAAGGCAAATGTAGTTCTTTGGCATAGACAAGATGCCATCCTTGGTGATAAATTCGTCATCGACAGCCATAGGATAGGTTTGGTCGATGTCATCTTCACTCAACATTGATGGGAGGCCGAGGATAGTGCTGACATGGACATCCATCTTTCGAACAACCCAGAAAATCCGTTTGCGAGTTTCGAGCTCAATGGGGTTGAACTTGACAGAAACCGAGCGGTGGAGGCCAAGACGGACAGCAGCACGGAGCGCAATTCCAATATAAGAATAACAGGTCCTAATATTGGCAGAGGCTTGTAGGAAAAGAATCATAAAGCAAACAGCCTGAAGAGAGGTTAGGTCACGACACTCGGTTATATCAAGCAACTGTCGGCCAGCTTTAAAATATTGGAAGCTATTCTGATAGTTAGTTTTGAATTGGTTCAGAAAGTACGGAGGAACTTCAATAGAAAAAATTACCCTTGATCTACAGCGCTTTCATATCCAGATTTCTCCAAAGTGCAGTCTCCCGGTCCTCGGAACAGGCATCCAACAGCAAGCGCAAGATATAGAAGCGGTAAGAAGCTATTCTCCTCATTTGAGAATTGTTCTAGCGGGGTATCATATACACGGTCGAACATTGCCCAAAACGTTGGTTTATGCAAAAAACGCATTATACAACACGCATCTTCAAGGGCATGTGTGCAAAACTTTCGCGCCTCCTTCTTCGATGGCAAGTCATGAACGGGAGACAAGTGTGTGTCGATAGGAGACTCTGAAGTTGATTTCATTTTCTCCAATCTGAGGGGCATACGAGGGAGTTTCTGTGGCAGCTGCCCTTCCGGAGCAATATTTCCTATTTGTTTCCGGACTCTTCTCACAAAAATAAGCCCGGAGGAATGACCATGATAATCCCAATGTCCTTCATCGTCAAGGTCAAGAGAGCCCGTATTATCTACCATTGACTCTAGAAGTGATTCGTCGCACGGTTCTGCGGCTGCCGGTAACTTCGGCTCGGGCTTTCTAGGTGGCTCTGACGTATTATTTTTGAGGAGAGCAAGTATTTCTTCGACGCAGCACCCGTCATATCGAGGGTCATCAAGGTCAATCTCGGGAACAAGAGCTCTCAGGAGCCTCTCGGCTTTCTGAAGTCGACTTTCGAGGGCTTCGATATATTGAGGGGCAGGATTTCTTCGTCGGTTTGATGGCTTGTCGTATGTGCATTCTGGCATCAAAACATGGTTAGCCACCCGCTTTTTTGCACAGGATCAACCGGAATATATAGTTGGAATATAATAGGAGCCATACCATAACTATAGACAGTGCAGTGGGTACAAGGTTGCTTGCCGTCACATTTTATCTTCTTACGGCGACACTCATCGCAGGCTCTTGTGACCCTTCTTCTTTTTTGGACTGTTATGGCCAGTGACGACTGATGTGAGTCGGTAGCTGGTGTTCCCTCCGTCGTCTCAGGTTCTTGCGTTGTATCTGGTGTTTGGCCATGATGGTCCTCAGAACTTTCAACCTCACCTCCGGCTGACGCTGAGTGTTGCTCCTGAATTTTCTGTTCCTCCTGCGGCGACTGCATGGTAATATCTTCAGAGACCATTGTATTTGAATGCCTTACAAAGCACCCACAAGCTCATTGGGGGCGGTCAGGAATTAGATAGGGGTTTATATCGTCGTCTTCACTACCGCTCGTGGTGTCGAGCAGGAACATATCCAGGCGCCAGGGTATACACTCCTGGAGCTCGATACTAGCAACACATACCGGGTTAGCATAAGCAGACACAGGGCGGTAATAAACTCCACGGCCACGAGTATTTCCCATGTACAATTTTTTTTTTTTCTTCTTTTGGCCAGCCTCATGAATCGATTAAGCGGACAGATGCTCATTCGACTTTCCTCCCCTCTCTGACCAGAAGAGAGTTCACCAGCGGAGTTGACGTACCAATGATAAAGGTTTCCCCCGCTGATTTGCTACCAGATCGACAAGCAAATGCAAGCAGACGGGCAACTCATTCGTCTATACGCTCAATATCGTTGGGCGAGGACGAAAAAGAAGGAAGCAGCGTGCAGTCGCAAGAATGGGTGACAAATACGACCAGCAAGTTGGGTGGGAGTTTTTATCAGATGGAAATGACTCTTTGATGTTTCAACCAACACTAGTAAGGCTTGCTCGGATTGCAGACTAAAAGTTTGAAAAAGCGCGACCCACAGGGCAGAGAATGTCTTTGGCCCGTTGATAGGTGGATACAAGCTTTCGACCTTTGAGCCTTCTAACGAGGAGCAAAGAAGAAAGGCGTGCACGATCACCGGATTAGAATCAAGTCCTTGCGCATAACCCCAAGCCTGCGAAGTAAGTAAGCAGCAAGCAGGCCGAAGCGTGCAGGCAGATTGCAAACAGCCACAGCCAGGGGTGTGAACGCTGCACCTCACGAGCGAGACCGCAGCTGGTTGCTCCGATGATTGTCAGTCTTAACCCCGACAACTGGAACCGAGGGAGTTTGAATGCATGTATCCAGACAATCCATGCTGTGGGTTTGTTCTCCCATGCAGCCACGGCGAGATGAGAGCATGGAGAGAACAATGCAAACGTTGCACAGCTGTGTCGTCTCAGGCCAGGGAGGTGCAGCAACGCCTTAGGCTCTGCGCTTTCGTCCTCGCCATCCGCGCCCATGTCGTTGCTTTGCTGCATCTCGCAATTCCATCTCCGGAGGCTGCATATGCTGACTAAGAGTGTCCCTTCACATGACTTGCTTTATCATTGATGATTGGTCCATCGGCCAGAATGAGATTTTGCCCGTTGCATTATATAAGCAATTCTAGAATTAGAACTGCCCGCTAAGACTTCCATCCCTGGCAACTCCCGATACGGAAAGCTAGACGTCACTCGGAGGTGAGATCCGCGGCCGCCGGCCAGGCATAATCCTGTGCTAATATCAGTGCTATATATATTGCTCGAAGCGAGGACGGCCCAGGTATGCTGCTCTCCCAGGGTAGAAAAAGATGATGTGAACCTGAGGTGTCATAATAATCGATGCTGCATGCTCCTGTTCCAGGCAAGCCCCCCTGCAAGGACAACGGAACGTCCAAACAGGAAAGTCTACCCTGTAGACATCGTCTGCTTAGAGTCATGGGTTCGTCCAGAATCTGTGGTGCTATCGGCCGGGGTTTGGTGTGCAGTGAGGGAATGGCCGGGGTTCAGGTTGTTTGAGCATGGGCTGGCGTAAGTTACCGATGTGCTGCATGGAAGAGAGGAGAAAAAGCAATAGCAGCCCCCTGGCGTTTTCTTGTTGTTGCTGTCAATTTTAGAGACTTCTCCGCATCGACCAGTGCTGTCACTCACCATCCTTGCCCATATTACCCCGTGCGCGCAGCATAAAAGTTAACAATACTGAGTCTCAGCCCTGACCTGTTACATATACTCATTAATGCTAGAGCCCGATCGATGATGGAGCCGAAGAGAACGACAAGCTTTTGCGGCTGTCCATCGCAACGCACCACGCTCCACCGCATGGTAGACCCGATAACGGAGGAACATGCGGCGTCGTGTACGGGATAAGGAGGTATCGGGATGATGTTTTATTCCGTGTAACGCTCGTATCTCTTAGTTATCCCGAGCAAGGTACTTATTTTAGACTTGAGGGCTCCGTCGATGTTTTTCCGCAGGAAGAAGAAACGTTAGTTATCATCGACTCGGGAACATAATCAATTGAGGCATACCACGTTCTGGAGGAAGAGTTCATGCTTGAATGCTTTCTCTCTCTCTGCTGTCCACTTGTCTGATTGACTGTCAACATAGCTATCGAAGTACACAGAAGTAGTACCTGGCCGAAAGGTAACAACTGAGCAGGCAGTCGTTGCCGTTGTCAAAAGAAGGCTTCGACTTCTTTCTGCCGTTCTTCACCGCGCCGCCCGATTAGGAAGTCAGCAACTCCAGGCAGACTTCGAGATATAAAACTTCGTCGGGACATAAAATGCGGCTGCTGCGCCGTTCTCTCACTCGTCTAGCATTGTAGACAGCGACGGCCTTTTCTCCATACATAAATGGTTCTCCACAAGCATGCAGGCTTAGTCAAGCCAGAAAGTCTAAAATAGTTGGTTTAAAGTGAAAAAAAAAAGCATGGATGAGCCGCCAGCATCAACATCAAACCCAGCAGCACCAACAGCATCAAGCTCAGCTCACCAGCAGCAGCCGCAAGACTGCGATCCAAGAAGAGCTCTCGTCCCCTCAATTGAATTCAGTGTCGAGTCCGGAGATATCGATCCCTTCTCTCCAACCCCGCACGCCAGAGACGGATTGCTCCCTTCGCGCACGGCAGGCCGCTCACAATGCTCCGATAGCTCTCCTCTTGCTCACCTTCGCACCCCATCCACTCCACTGGGGATTCCAACTCCCTTGTCTGTCATAGGCGCGTCAGACTTGCATCTTCCTTCTGGATCGCCCCGTATACTCGAGCCGGAACCGCTTTGGCATCGCAGAGATAGAACTTCACAGGTCGATGAGCTTCGACATGTCCCGAACCCTCCAAACACGCCAACCAAGCTAGCTTTATCACCATCTACCCTTCGTCACGCTCTTTCAACCTCCACGTCAGTTACTCTACCCGCAATCAGAGCGGTGGAAGCAATACATTCTCTCCCTTCGCTCTCAACCATCACATCTGCGGTCCCTGAGATGCAAAACACCTCCGACATTGCCGGCACCCCGCATCAGCGCGAAAGCATGACTTCCAACGCGGTAGAAGACAATACCTCAGCTGCAGCTCCTATTGCTGCTCAGAGGTTGGTCCCTTCAGCAGCCGAGAACTTTTGCCCCGATGCGCGTCATATTTTGTCCAGTAGCCCGGAGTCAATAAAGTACTGGGAAGCCATATTGGACCGCTGCAATACTAGCACTCGCATAACTAAGCCTCACATTGGGCAAAGAGACGTATTTGTGGTAGGAAATATCACTATTAAGAGTGATCACCTCGATCCTGGTGGAGGGAGTGGTTATCATCTGCTTGACGCAAACGAAGTCGCTGCAGTGAAGTTGGTCAAAGATGCGATCCCGGACATCCAAGTACCACAAACCTACTTTAACTCAAAGATTAGAGGCCACGATATTTTGATACAATCTCGCATTCCGGGGCGGCCTCTCAGTGAAATATGGCCCTTGCTCACAACTCCGCAAAAGGAGAGCTTTAAAAGTCAAGCTCGTGACATCATCTTGAAGCTACGTCGAATAACGCCTCTCACCTTAAAATACCCCAGATACTTTGTGGCTGGTTCAGAGAAGGAGAGTCAACGGAAATTGTCCGCAGAAGAAGTCCATAGCCTCTCACCCACTGACACTTGCGAGGACCTCGGTGTGGCCCATAATGATATGATCATGTCCAATATCACTGTGGATAATGATAGAATAGTCGGTCTTATCGGGTGGTCGAATGCTGGCTATTTCAATTGGAGAACTGTCAGCAGAATCCACGCAAAGGTTAGATGCGTAGACCCCAAGACCAACGCACCTATTCCAGAGTATCACGAACCAGAGGTTCCATGGCACGACCTCTATGAACATACACAGGAATCTAAGAGGACTGAATTTGATGAAACAGCTACTCCTAAAGTTTCCACGCCGACAACGGAACCAAATCCGCTTCTACCATCAGAAGAAGGTTCATCACAAACGCCTGCTCTCACTCCCAGAAAAGTGGCAGACATGAAACGAAGCTCCGTATCACGGGCGTCCTCAGTTGACCGCTCATCACCAGCTCCATCACTGAATTCTCAGCCAGTCACAAAGAAGAAAGGACCTAGCGCTGCTTCTATCAAGAAGGGGACAGCCAAACGTACACCAGCGGCGAGCAAGAAGCGAAAAATAAACGAGATTGCTGACGTGGAGGATGCAAAATCTTCTCCCCTAGCTAAACCATCAACTCAAAGAAATAAGAAGCAGGATTCTCAGTCAGCTGCCAGTTCACCTGCACCAGAACACAAAGCGCTGAAGAAGGCTCGTTTACGGCGTGGCAAGTTGAACACTGACGATGACGATGAGGATATAGATGAATCTGCTTTGTTTTGCATCTGTCGTAAGCCAGATAACCATACCTGGATGATCGCGTGTGATGGAGGCTGCGAGGATTGGTTCCATGGCAGATGCATGAATATTGATCCAAAAGATGCCGACTTGATTGATAAATACATCTGTAAGTCCATTCGAATTTAAGCATTCCCCCAATGATCCAAGCTAACCTGCGTTTAGGCCCAACTTGCGAAACAAAAAGCCCTCTACGTACAACTTGGAAGCCAATGTGTCGCCTTCGCGAATGTCGCCAGCCGGCCCGAGTTGATGCAAAACCACCTAGCAAGTATTGCTCTGATGAGCATGGGATAGACTACATGAAACAAGCAATGTCTCGAGGCTCAAGGCAGCCCAGCTCCAGTGCTGATGAACAGAGCAACAGAAGGTGCAAAAACGAGGCGAGCAGAGGTGGAATACTCAATCTGGGAGAACTCAAGTCTGTTGTTTCCAAGGTCGACTCAGCCGACCAATTTCGAAAACTTGGTGCCAGCCCGCTATCGGCTCATCAGGAGGAAGTTCAAGCTCGACTTTCAGACGCCATGGCTGCCCCCGGCCCGAACCAGAGCGATTTAGAGACCAAAGATGTAAGTTTCGATTTCGAAGCGGATAAAGTTGCATTCTCCTCTAGCGAACGCCAACGACTCAACCAGCTTCGAAAGGAGAAATTGAGACTTGACAATCGTAAGGAGATGCTTCAAGCCCGGGATAACTTCATCGTTATTGCTAAGCAAAGAGTGAAACATGCATTTGACCGCCTTAAGGCCCATGGCTCAGTTGGCAATTTACAGCTCAAAGACATTTGTGGCTTCGATAACCGGTTCTCCCTCTCTGACGAAGAATTCGATGAATGGCGGAAATCCGAAAAGGGGGCTCTGTTGCTCGCTGATTTTTCCGCTCAGGACAATGCCGGAGAAGCCAGCCCTCAGTTGAAAAAGGCAGTCGATACCGAATCAATTGAAGAGCTACTCCAGACTTTGTGCTTGAAAAAGCGTTGCGAGCGCCATAAGCAATGGACTAAAGTTATGCAGCAAGAAGTGCTTTTTGAGCAATCAATTTTGAAGGAGCAGTCTGATAAATGTCACAAAGATGCCGAGGAGTTGGTCAAGAAGGCCGTTCTCAGGATGTTCAGCAGCGAGAACTAGATCTTTGCTCCCTTGATACTACTATCTGCTTTATTTGTAGCATCCATACACCGACAGTTAACACTAGACCTTTGAACTGCCTATTCCGATACCCAGTTACCCTTTTTTACCCCTAAGCCTTTTTGAGCCGAAACAGAATACCCCCATTGAGCTGTATTATTATTTTTATCATTCTTATTTTTATCATGGTGTTTTCGGCTCTATCCCCCTTTTTAATTTGCATCGGCGCCTGTTGACGGTCTTAATGGACTGGCCAAAAAAAATCATACCAGCGACCTTCCAGCTTGTTACCTTTATTTTCTTTCTTCCCTATTGTTTCCTGACATCCAGTGGCATGGCGTTTGTACTTTGCAGGGGCTGTTCGCTATTCAAACCAGCCAAGTATTTTTATACCATCCTGCATCTTTCTGCATGGCTAAATAGTTGCTTTAAGGGAGATACTCCACAGCGCATGGTTAGCGAGTCAGTAAATACCGGAGTAGTTCGAATGAACAAGGAAATGTGCGTCAGTCTTTTATTCCGTATCATCGACTTGTATGGATAAAGATAGCCTCCACTCCGTTTAGAAAATATCCCAACGCCCTAGATTATTTCCCTCCCTGTCTTTGACTATCTCCACCACTCGCTCGTTGTCTACACTCGAGACCACCAAATGAACATCAATACCCTCGTCAAGCTCGTCGGCAAAATGGAACAGAGGCAGACCAGATGGATATGGAGAACCGCTAATCAACCGGCGGTCGTCAGGTGGCTCAAAAACGGATTCTACTGGGAAACTCATATCCTCAAGCCTATAGGGGGTGGTTAAGGCTGTTTCAGCTGGAGTTAGGCCGTTGCGCACTTGGGTCCGGAGTTCATCTGGAGCCATCTGTATTGCCTTTGGTATCTCTGGTCGTAGCGTTATAGAATTGGCAATGATAACGGCAAGCAGGGACTTGTATGTCCTGCAAAGGAGAGTGAGAGTGCGGAGAAAGGAGCATAAACGATCTCCCGCAGTGTCCATATCAGATGAGCGGATGGTTTCCTGTATTGCTACATCTATTCCTTCGATGAGGAGCAAGATGGGCGGTTCAAAGGGGTCTCTTTTTCGAGGTCTGTTTTCTGACTGCGTAGTACTGTCTCGGTCGTCTAGTCGCGCAGAGGTTGAGACTCCAGGCTTCTTATCTGCTCTCTGTTGTTCCTGTTCAATTTTGAAGAGGAGGTCAGATACTTGGTCAACAGCACCTTGTATCTGGCCAAATTCGAACGCTTGAAATACGTTGACATCACGTAGGATGCTCTCTATCTCCTCAAGGGAGAGTTCGGGCATCTTTTCTCGTATAAACCCTTGAAGAAAGCTAGATGATAGCGGACGACAACCTCTAAATTGGATAATGAAAGCCCTTGGCCGGTTTGCAGTCGTGTTTCGTGTGATTGTGGAAATTAGCAAGTGTAGTGATAACTATTGGCTGTATTAGCAAGGTGGACTGCGTCTTCGCTAATAGATATATACGCACTTCGTCAACCCATTCCTGAACATACTCTCTGCCATTTGGCGCCTTTTTCCCAGGGTCTATGCTGAGTATCAGCGAAGATATCCCCAGTACCCGGCCTGCTGACACGATGGCTGCTGCGGGTTTCTTTGATCCTTCGTCACCGTAGATCTCAGATGCCAGCCGCCATCCATCCTCATCTTCCGAACTAGACGTACTTCTGTCATCGTCCTCGGACCCTGGGGGAAGAAGTGAGGATGCCAGGATCGGCCTTGCAGCCACCGCAGAATGGGTATTCATTTGTCTGAGAAGAATCCAGTTGTCGTTCAGAGCTTTGTTGTCTCTTTGGCTATCATTACCATCACTGCGTGTTCCTCAAAGATGTCTTCCAGGGAAGCAATCGAGCTATACAGGGTATAGTCAGGGTATGTTCACGAAGTATGGATGTTTCGTATGATCTACAGCCAGGTTGACGTCTTGATGGTTGACGTTCAGTGGATTCCACTTGAAGAAACTATCCGCAACAACTTAAAACTAACTGCAAGTCGACTATCCTCAACATCACGACCACCTGCACGCCCATGGATAGAACTGCTGGCCCCTGAACGAAGGATTCAGACACGTATCCCAGCAAAAACTCGCTCGATCAAGGCGAATATCAAAGTCAACCAACTGCTCTGCCTCCTCCAAGTCCATGCAGCTTCTCTTACCCCACAGCGGCCGGTTAAGCATATAAAAAGGCAGCCGACAGATACGAGCTCCCCCTCAGGGCATCTAGTTCCCCCTATCAACATTCTATCTAAGAGCGCCATCTAGTCTGATTCCTGGCTATAATCTCTGGACTTCATACATCTAAATACCAGTAGCCATCCCTTAAAATAACATAACCCACAATGAGTCCCGGCGCCGTTGCCCAACCCTCTCCAGCCGCAGCCAGCGAGGTCAAGACCAAACAAGAGCATGAGAAACAGCATATCCACAGTGATGAACGAGGCCTCAAGGCTCTTTCTCACGGAGGCATTCCTATCCCCGGTACTCTTCCACTCACTCCATCCTCCCCTAGTCCCATTCTACCTGGCTCTCTACAGCCTAAATATCTACCTCTACAACGCTAAGCTCTTCCCCAGGAATACCCAGCTTCACATCCCACGAGCTCAAACGCCAATGGCAACTAGAGCATATGGCGGGGGCATTCCGCATCTGGGCCCGACAAGGCTACACAGAGGGACTATCAGGCCACATCAGCGTCCGCGATCCAGAATTCACCGACGCCTTCTGGACAAACCCATTAGCGTACACTTCGGCCTGCTGAAAGCAAGCGACATGATACTTCTGCGTCTCGACGGCACCGTGATAGGCGGCAACCGCTCCCGACCCGCCAACGCAGCAGGCTTCCTGATCCATGCAGCGGTCCACAAGCGCCGACCAGACGTGCACGCCATCTGCCATGCGCACACGATATACGGCAAGACATGGTCGTCGTTTGCGCGGCCACTGGAAATGCTGAACCAGGACGTGTGTAAGTTCTACAAGGCGCATAGCGTGTACTCGTCATATGGCGGGGTGGTGCTAGCGGAAGAAGAAGGGGAGTTGATTGCGACGGCGCTGGGAGATGGGAAGGCTGCGATACTGATGAATCATGGCCTTTTGAGTGTGGGGGGAACGGTGGATGAGGCGGCGTATTTGTTTGGGTGTTTGGAACGGTGTTGTCAGGCGCAATTGCTTGCTGAAGCTGCTGCGGCTAATGGGATTGAGAAGGTGTATATTTCCGATGAGCAGGCGGCGTATAATTTTGCGGTGGAGAGTGATCCGGAGGTACTTTATTGTGAGTTCCAGCCTGATTATGAGTATGAGGATGCCATGTGTGCAGGGGCTTTTAAGAAGTGAGTTTGATATTGCACGTCGGTTTGTATTTTGGGTATTAGTTTTGGTAGTGCAAATAGGACATCGGGATGTTGAAATCGAGGCCAATGCATAATGCAGTATGTTATTGAGATGCTAGTATCAATAAATCTATCCCATGTCTACTCCCTATGTAGTTGTTAGTAGCAAAGTCGATAAAACGCAAGGGGGGCAAAAAGGGGTAAGTAAAAAAAGGGGGGGGAAAGGAGCTCACTAGCAAAACCACATGCTCAAACAACTGACAACAGACCATGTATAACTTTTCAACAGAATAGAAAATGAGATAAAAGAGTGAATAAAAGACCTAAATCTCTTAATAATATAACCTGTCAATAAGAATAGTAATTTTTTTTTTTCTTGCCCATTTCCTCCCACCGAGCGACTTTCGAAACAGAATGCGATTTTAAAAAAAGAATCTAGAATATTGCATACAGCTAGGACGGGGATGGATGAACATCAACAATAAATAGTGCCGAAGATAGCGATATGGAAGAACAGCTTGGAAGAGTAGGTAGGATAGATAGTACGGTAGACTAGTAAGGAGGCGGACCGATCCCCCTCCTACCTGAAATCGATCTGCTGGGGGCAAGCAGACCTTTTACTCCGTCGTGCGGGGGCATGGGGACAACAGTGTCTGCGTCAGGAGAGGTAGGAGTGGGAGTAGCTATGCCACCGAGTAACTTGTCGACTTCCGCTCTTCGGCTCTGGCTGACGGATCGAAGCAGGATGGGGTTCTGGGTTAGACTTGGATCCCATGCGTCGACGGGGTTGTCTGCTGCGCTCCGACTGTGTTTGCGAGAGCGAGTAGATGTCTGTGGTGAAGCGGCACGGCGAGAAGTAGATGGTGTTCTGATTTTGGAGAGAGGGCGAGAACGAGAGTTGGAGCGGGATTGGCATGCAGAAGAGGATCTTGAGGGCTGTTTACGGGATTGACGGTGCTGAGGCAGTGGTGGGACGGGAGGTGTGGATTTGTCTTTGTCGAGTTGAGGAGCGTGGGTTTGTTGGACTTTTTCGAGGACTGCGTCTGCGTTGCCGGTTGGACCGGCGCTGCTGAAGCCTGCGTCGGAGGTGGAGAAGGTATCTGTGACCATGCTCTCGGCACTGGAGGCGTCGTCGCTGCATAGTCGTGAGTGGCCGCGTAGGGGGCTTGGATGGCGGACGTTGGAAGTGTTCATGACCGAGAGAACACGACGGAGCTCGTTGACGCGGACTGTAGAGTCCTTACTTGATGAGGCGGTTGTGGGGGAGCGAGGATGGGGTATTTCGGTGAGACTCTGGCGGCGGTCCTTGCGGCTTTCTGCGCGGGTGCCTGGGGCTGTGGCAGTGGCAGCAGCAGCGGCAGAGGCAGAGACGGGACGGTGCCATTTCTGTCCATGACCATGAGACGAGTCTGTGCCTGTGGGGGAGCTGGCGGTTCCGTTCTTGCCGGCCGTTGCGGTGACATTTAGATGGTTGCGGGCGGGCACGGAGCCGCTCTTTGAGCCTGTGATGGAAGATGATTGGGTACGTTCCTGTTCGATGGAGGCTAGACAGGCTTCTCGTGACCAGGAAGAGAGCATTTGCTCCTTGATGTAGGACGGTAGCAAGGTAGTAGGTAGCTGACGAGCTGGAGGGTGGAAGGATAGAGTAGCTGCGAGCCCCTGGGTTGCTGCACTGGGAGAACTTGCTGGGCTGGAAGCCGGGGAGAGACAGGACTGGTTGTAGGCGGTTTCAATCTGGGAGACCAGTTCGACGACGGAAGTAAAAGGGGTATAAGCAGATTTGTTTGACTGCACGGCGGGATCCGTGTTGGTGTCGCTTGGGTTGAGCGGCTGCTCGGCCAGGATGCGTGCTGCAGGGAGAGGAGGCAGTTGGACCTTGGCGAGCCAGAGGCCGTTCTTCTTGCGCCTGACGACCTCGTTGAGGATGTCTCTGCCTAGCTTTGTGCCTTCGAGGGTGAACCGTTCGACTACGGCTGAGAGGTAGCCGTGGACAAGACTTCCAGCCTTCAGCGGGGAGGCAGGGGTAGACGGGTCGAGACAGTAAGACTGGAGCTTCATGATGACTGGCAGTCCGTATCTGATTGCATTGACGCCCAGACGGTCTACCAGGCTGACCAAGAGGAGGTGGGAGAGCAGGATATCAGCCTCGGACACGGCGGGGTCAGTAGCAATCTCGTAGATGTTGAAGTGAAGATGCTGCAGGAAGCGTGAGATTTCGGCTGCTGCGACTTTATTGTCGTCGGGCCCTGAAGCAGGCAGGGCCTTTCTGACCAGCTTCTCTGCCCCATCAGACAGGTCTGCTCCTCTGTCTTTGCGCTTGCCGACCTTGAGCGGCTCGGCGGGAGCACGGAGGTCGGAGTCGTTGGTCTCCAGCTTCAACCAGCAGAGCAGAGCATCGACGTAGGCATATTTGACCTCTCTGTCAGGGTCACGGAGGAGCCATTGGGTGCCCTCCCAGGCGTGGACAGGAACAGGATGCCTGGCATGTGTTCCTCCGGCTCGTGACGAGCTTCCCGCCCCTGGACGGTTGGCGACGTCAAGCGTGTCCTTGACAGCCTTGAGGGCAATGATGCGAGCATTGGGAGTCGAGAAGTAGGTATCTGATACGACGGACGACTCGTCTGCAGCCCTTTCAGACTCGTGGTCTGAGTTGTTGTTGGTGGTTGACGATGCCGGTGCCGAGGCAGGTCTGATGCGGGAGACGATCGTCTTGACCATGTCTGACACCTGATCGGTGTAGTAGACATGGTTAGCCAGGTTTGCTACGGACGACTGCAGCAGGACGAGCAGTTCCTGGCGTATTGACCCCGAGGAAGGCCGGGAGTTTGTAGCTGTTCCTCCGTCTTCAGCAGCAGTACCGGTAGTAGTAGTAGTAGTAGTAGTAGGGAGAGCGGTATCATCCGTATGAGCGAGGGCAAGGGGGTGAGCAAAGGCGGTCTTGCTGGGCGGCGGGACGACCCTGACCCTGCCCTCGCCGAGATGGAGGAGCAAGACGATGAAGCGCAGCAGGGCAATGAGGACGTCCATGACGCTGAGCCCGATGAGGTTTATGGAGGAGCTGAGCAGCCACTCGATCATGTAGACGAGGCCGAGCTGCGGTTCGAGCTGGCCGTCGACCAGGGGCCGTTCGGCCAGGGCCTCGACCAAGGTGACGAGGACGACGAAGCGGTCCTGGACGGGGGCCCAATTGACGATTACCTCGAGCAAGTCCGTGGCCCAGCCGGAGTCGTTCTTGGGCCTGGGCGGGTTGCGAGAGACGATAAACTCGAGGACGAGGGCGGTGGCCAGGCGTATCTGCAGCCTGTTGCTTCCGGGGGTGAAGACCTTCTCCAGACAGCGAAAGGCGAGGACCTGGGCCTCTACTTCGGCGGCCTTGTCTGCATCAGCGGCCGTTCCCGAGGCCGACTCCGGATCCCCGGCCTCGACGGTGTCGACGGTCTGGACAGTCGCGATGCTCATCCGACGGCGGCGGGCGTGTTCTTTTTCCAAGTTCTCAGAGCAGACGGCTCGCTGCTGAAGCTGGAGCAGGCCCGGGTCACCGGAATGGTAGAGACAGTGCAGGATGACGGGCAGGACGATGTTGAGCTGCCGCGACCAGTCTGCGCCGAGGGCCTCTGAGCCGACGACGGCCCTGATGGCCTGAAGCCCGACATTGCGCCATCGCAGGTCGGTAGCCGTGGTGGTATTGGTGGTGGTCCTGGAGGTGAAGCTGGCGTACTTGCGCACGACGTCGCGGTACTGGTTGATGTAGTCGATGTCGGCGGAGAGGGCGGTGGCGTCCTGGTGCGAGCAGAAGACCTGGAAGGTCGGGATGGTCTCCTCGACCATGGCGATGTCGTTGGAGTGCTGCAGGACGGTGTCGAGGATGGCGAGGACGGAGCTGGCGTAGAGAGGCAGGTCTCGCGGCAGCTTCTCTATCAGCGCCGCCAGCAGCTGCATCGTCACCTGTACATTCCTACCAGGACACCAATTAGCATGTATTCTGTAGATGAATAGGAGGAAAGTAATACCCCAGCTTCTGCCTCCAGACGTCTCTGGCGACGCGCTTCTCGAGAAAGGCGCCGACCTTGAGCAGCTTGCTGCGGCGGGTGCTGGCGTAGTGCAGCAGGTAGCTGAGCTCAGAGGAGTTTGGGCGGACGACCTGGACGCCCTTTTGGAAGCGCGGATAGCACTTGAGGACGAGCACCTGGTGTTTCGGGCGGCATGCCTGGCGGACCGAGTGCATCTTCTCTCTCTCTCTCTCTGTCTCTCTCTCCGTCTCTATCTTCTCTGTCTCTGTCTCTTTCGTAGTGGTGGTGGTGGTCGCTGTCGTAGTCGTAGTGATGCTGCCTGGCCGCCTGGACGAGCTAGGGACGACCCATGGATCTCTGTCTCTGTCTGTATATCCTGAGTGTCCCTGAGTATTCTGTATCTCCTCTCTCTTCTATCCTGTCTCTTCTATCCTGTCTCTTCTATCCTGTCTCTTCGGTCTGGCTGTCCCGCCGTCTCGCTGCGTGAGTTGTGATGTTGTTCTTTTTCTCGCCTGCAGAAACGACTAAAAGGAAGAAACGCCGGCAAGCCAGTCAACTACATCTTTGATTATTATTCTCTTCTCTCTCTTTTTATTATTTGTTTCTTCTTATTACTACTACTACTACTATTGTCTGTCTACTGGCTGAGCATGTCTATCACCTGCGGCCGGATGACGGCGGCCCTGAAGGCCTCCTCCTGCAGCAGCCGCAGCGCCCGCAGCGTCGCCCCTGGATGCGAGAGGAACTGGACGTACTCGGGGCGCCGCCAGTAGTCGTAGAGGTAGGCCAGGTAGGCGGCAAAGGCCTCGCTGTCGTCTTTTTCCTTGCTGTCTCTGCTGTCTCTGTCTTTGGCGTCCTTTGAGCTTGTGATGCCGAGCAGCTGCGGGTAGGCGACGGCGAGGTGCGAGAGATAGTGCGGGTTGGCCAGCGAGAGGACGAACTCGAGCTCGAGCGTGAAGCGAGGACTTGACGGCGCTGGAGGGTTCATAGTGACTGTAGATATTGTAGAGAAGTTGATAGTAGAAGTTGATAGTAGAAGTTGATAGTAGATGTTGGTAGAGAAGTTGATAGACTGAGACTGAGACTGAGACTGAGACTGTAGGAGTAGATAATGGTCGATGAAGAGAGAAGAAGCAGACAGTAAGAGAAGAGAGAGAAATAGAAGAGAAAGAGAAGAGTAATAGAGTAAGGAAGGCTGGCGGCGCAAGAGACAGCAGAGAAACTCCTGAGCCAGAAGCTTTTCACGGCAAAGTTAGCGACTTCGCTTCTTCGACTTCTTCGACTTCGACTTCAACTTTTCAACTTCATCTTCTCTTCATCTTCACATCGTCTACGTCTCTGTCAGCTCGTTGCAGTCCAACTACCGTCGATCGCTCCACCGGCCTGCGTCTCCTCGCCGGCATCCTTGCCCCTTCTTTCGCCTTCGCCAGCCCGTCCAGACGAACCAGCAGCCAGCACCCGCCGGACAGACCAGATAGACACAAAGGATATCCCCCTCGGACTCGGGCAGCCAGGCAAATCGCAGCAGACATCGTCGTCATAGCCAGCAGAGGCAGCTTCATCAGCAGCAGCAGCTCCCTGTCGCCGTCGACGGGTCTTCGTGCGACCGCCAGGCCTTCTTCCCGCCTCCCTTCCCGCCCCTTCGCCTGCGTCTTCCCCTTATCCTGCCCTGCCTGCTTTTTCCTGCTTTTTATACTCTCCCTCTCTCTCCTCTGCTCCTCTCTGGCTGCCATGTCGCTTGCTCCCATCCCAGTGCCAGGTACGATACAGTGATCTTTGCCCCCTTTGGCGCCCGGCCTGCTGTTTCACCTCTATTAAGTGGCCGGGTGGGCTCATCCACACATCCTCACTCACGACTCACGACTTCACC